CTGAGGTTGACTTTTGACATTCAGTTTAATATAATTCCAAATAGATTCTAAAGGATTTAGCATATACGAATAGGGACTTAACAAGAGTAATGTTACATCGGAATTATTAAAGTATTCATCAAGTTCGGAGAAGCAGTAATCACTATCACATACAATAACGAGATTTGTAACATCACATTTACTAGTTTCTATCCACGATTTGAAGATTTCTTCGGGTCGCAGACGACCACGGCTGCGTTTAATAGCAATAACACCAGCTTGTGTTAGGGCGCCCATCATATGCAGTGTTAGATCACATGTAGCAAAGAATCCTGTATTTGTATTGAAACGCCCCTTAGCACGACGACAAAATATTTTAAATGTGGTCTCACCCAACCAAACTATGGTTTTATTCTGTTCGCTATAATATTCTAATGTTTTGACATACTCGGAACGTCTTGTTTTATTTTCTACGGTATTGATAAGATGGGGATTATAGTCGTTTGTTCGCCGATGATGATAAAGTCGTCCTTCCAGCAAGCATTCAACAAAATACACACATACATCTTTTTGGAAATGTGTTTTAATTTTCTTCACAATTTCTTTCAGTGTTAATGAACGATTATCTTCAATCCATTTGATAATTGTTTTTATTTCATCATCGCTAAACGAGATTTTTCCACTCTTAAGAAACATTTCCTTGCGACTAATCGAAACCCAGGTATATGCAGTTTTATATTTAACACCAAGTTTTGAGGCAAGCGCTGACCAATCATCACCACGATTTGCGGCTTCAACAATACGTGAACGATCTTCGGGATTGTGAGTTTTGTAGGGTGTTTTGCGTACAGGAGCCACCGACTTTGATGATGTTTTTGATGATCTGTTGAAAAAGCAAAAACATAAATTTAAATGTTTTAATGGAAATGGATTAAACCTAGCTCAGTTCGTCGATAATGATCTGAATACAAATATGTTTTTCTTGTTGAAATTTATGCTACCCTTTATATGAACTTACAAAGTTACTGCATACATTTATCCTGTAAACTACATATGGGCAATATTGCCAATTTTTTAACATAGCTGAAGCGGAGGTTCACCCCTTTATAACTCGGGAACTACTTAAGTATATGAAAAAAAGTGAATAGTTTTGGGTTAATTGATCTGTCGTTGCAAACTGTTCATGATATTGACGTCCAAACTTTATTTTGGTGGAAGCTGTGTCTACTTTAATGTAAAAAAATGTTTAAAAACAGGTTGAGGCGAACCAGTTTTTTTATGTTCTCTATCGATTTGTGACTAAGCCACTCATTGCACGGTCTTCGTGTCAAAATAAAACTAGAAGCCAAAAAAATGGGGACTACGGCCCTTATGTATCATTTTTCAAAATTTTAACTGCATCTACCTTTAAATGATGCTGACATTTTGAAGCTCGATTTTGAGTGTTTTTTTAATTTTACTTCTAGCTTTAATACGCAAACAGGAATTTATAAAAATCGATTATAAGATTATTGTAGTCGCGAATCTGCGTAATTTGATATGTATTTTGTGTATGTAGTATGCACAGCTTCAGAGTAATACTCATCCGAAGGTGCGAATTTTGTGCGATCAAATTTCTAAAAAACCTATTTTTCGGGCCACATTTTTAGATCTGTCAACTGAATGATATGGGTACCCGCGATCAATAAGGTTTTTTACGTTTCGGATGATATAAAATCTTCTTCGTGAAAATCCATCTACTAGAACGGCGGGAACTGGTCTTCCAAAAACACGAAATTTGGCAAAAAATGTTTTTGAAAATATCGCGGATTTATTTGCGTTTTCTGTGTATCATTTCCGCTTCAATAAATGACCTCATACGGATTTTGACCTTTTTCGAAAAGAGAACTTTAAAAACATCAGCCGAAAGAGAGATGTACGCAATTTATCTCAAAAATAGATTGTGCTGGCACATCCATGGTTCTTAATGGACAACATTGAAATGGTATAGATCGATCTATTTTTTTAGGGTGCACACCGAAATCGGATGCGCGTTAATGGCATATGGAGTTTTCGGAAATTATTCGCGTTTTACGATTTTTTGGGTACTTCAATGTAACGTGTGGCACATCTTAGCCGTCGAATGAAATTTCGCAAAATATATACGGATTGGAAGATAAACTTCAGTACTTCCTGGAAACTGCATGCGCATCAAATGCTTTTGAGAATTACACGATTTACACGCAATTTAAAATGTGTATTTCATAATATTATTTTATTTTAAGATTTATTCCTATTGATAGAATTCTAAGATTTATCGGAAGGCTCTTGATATAATCCGAAAGGCGTATACTTATACACCAAAAGTGATTATTATTATATATGTCAATTTTTCGGCAAAATTCGGGTAAAATAGCAGAATAACCCCAACATTTTTTCTGAAATTTCTTGTATACAATTAAAAAAATTAATATGATGACATTATTTTTCGAACCAAAACCGTTAGATTATGTAGTTATTTTTAAATTAATTTTTAGGTGTGTGTATGTCATTAATATAATGAAAATATTGATGCAATCTGCTATATTTTTTTATTTTTCTCATATTTCGCGAATATGTGCAACTTTATCGTGATTATTCTAATATATTCATATTCTTATTTTACGGAGGAAGATTTATATCAACGTTTTTGATCAATATAATAAACGGCGTAATTTTAAGATTTTTTTCTTATGCCCAAAATTAAAACCTCGATAAATTTTGCGCGCATCAACCAAAAATTTGATCGCGAACAGTTTCGGAGTCAGAACATTTTTCTCTATATGTGTACCAAAAATCATTGATGTGCCACAAAAACAAAAAAGCTGATTTTTTGAAAATGGAATATTAAAAAATTGGCAATATTGCCCATATATGCTATTTTGTACAGTGTTTCTAGGTCTGGGAAGTCGGAGTCTTAATCGAAAATTCTTTATTGTTAGCTTTTTAAATTGGGATTACTTGTGGGAGAGGTGTCAAATAAAATTGGCCTATATATTTTAACTTCAACTAAACAAATTTTCAGTGTAAATATTAAGGTGTGCGCCACTATCGGCATGATCTTAAATTTTCACGACAGTGGTATTTACGATATGAAACGACCTGAGTCTCACTCGGTCAACGACTGTCAACTCAGCCCATCGTTAAGGTTGTTACAACAACCTTATCTTATTTTTATCATAGAGATTTTGTCGCACATCTGATGCATCAGTTCATCAATGAAAGTTTCAAATTCAAAATATTTAAAGGTAGTATTAATCCACAAGTATTTTAGAAAACATTCTATTTAAATATCTTACCTAAAATCATCTCCTGAATGCCATGACGTTTGCTGCTGCTCCACTGTAGAATTATAGTAGCCGGAATTATTTTGAAACCCCGCACTGTATGGAATTAAAAGTTCATCATCGCCAAATTGAATTGTTGATTCATTTCTATTTTTACGATGTGGTGTAGTATTATGTCCACCTGTTTGAAATTCCACTACAACATCCGTATCTCGTATATAACCATTATCTTCAATGTCTCCTTCCTCGTCGGAACTTTCCAATTTGATTATGGGTATATTGACATTTGTCAATGATTCCTGTCGCTCCTTTATCAATAAGGCAAACTTGTGGAAATCATCCAAATGTGTATAACATGATTGGCATAGTAGGGCCGATTGATAGCCAGTAACTTTTACCTATTTGGGGAAAATAATAATTATTACTATTATTCGAAATGGAAAATTGTAACCAATTGTACCCCACCATCACCATTCTCCCCACTCACCTCCATTTGTAAATATTTTTCAATTACATCAACTAAACGATTTTTATCATCGAAAAATTCTTCATAAATACTGTAGGATTTTGTCCTTCTTAGAGGACATAAACATAATTCACAATTCATTTTTAATAGAACTTTAAATAATACTAGAGGTTTTTCTTAATTGTTATTATTTAATAAATTAATAAAACAATAATCATTTATTTAGTGCTTCTATAGTACTCAACTAAATTTTCTCTTATTATAAACACTTTTTAGGGGTTTCCATTCACTTTGCATTGATAGCACACAACATAAACAATCGCAATTTTCCTAAAACCAAAACCAAATGGAATAAGCAAGCAATTATTGGACTCCTTTGAGTTATGTTACTGGCCTGCAAGTGCGTTCATAGCCAATCGCAAAGTTGTATAAAAATATATGGAGCCTCAAATCCTGAATAACATAACCTATAAAATTATAACACGCAATGAATGAATTAAAAGAAAATATTGTATAAAAATCCACAAAGAATTTCTAAATACAGTAGATATGGGATATAAGCACATCTCATATAAGAAAAAATCGCATATAAGAAAAATTATCTAAAACACCGAGCCTTTTTACATCTCATCAGTGTAAAAATTGCTTCATATAAGAAAAACACTGATATAAGAAATGTTTGTCAAACAGCAAAGCTGACAAAGGTATTAGAAAACGTTTCATATAAGAAAACATGTACGATTGTTGGCCAATTTATTAACATTGAAAATGTTTTAAAAAAATAAAATAAAATACTTTTTAATTGTATTTGAAAGAATATTATTTATATGAATAGGAACATATGCACCTATTTTTAGTCAAACTGTGAACTGATTTTAATTTAGTATTTTTTTACTTTTATATGCGTATGTACGCATATAAGAAACAACTTTCTTATATCCGATAATTCCATATAAGAAAAAACGCATATGAGAAAGAAATCGCCGGCTTTTTTGATTTTCTTATATCCGATATCTACTGTGTATATATCCCCACTTTTATTATTTTGGTTTTTCCCCCACTGTGTAGTCCGGATTTTTGTGTAATATGTGTGTAATCAAACTATTGTGTATTTGCCAGCAGCATATTCATCAAGTGAACGAATAAGAAGAAGAAGCATATGTTAAGGGACTGAGAACGCATTTTTGCGATACGATACGATAATTTGCTTCATTAATTTATTTTTACCAAAAATAAAAGACACCAAACAAAAAACAGCAAGGGCAATACAGGATCATGACAGATTTAGATAGATGGATTGAAATAGTTAAAGATTGTCGGTATTTACCGGAAAACGATTTAAAGAAATTATGTGATATTGTGTGTGAAATACTATTGGAAGAATCAAATATACAACCTGTCAGTACACCAGTCACTGTGTGTGGAGATATTCATGGTCAGGTACGTACGTACGTTTTTTTGGTGGAAATATATTTCTTAATATGGGCGTATTCCTTATATCCGGAAATTTTCTTTTTTGCAGTTCTATGATTTGGAAGAATTATTTTCAATTGGTGGTGCCGTACCAAATACAAGTTATGTTTTTATGGGCGACTTTGTTGATCGAGGATATTATAGTTTGGAAACGTTGACACGTCTGCTGACATTGAAGGTATGTATGAGGCATAGAAAAGTGGCAAATAAGATTAATTTATCTGGTTGTTATTGTAGGCTCGTTATCCTGATCGCATAACACTTCTACGAGGAAATCATGAATCAAGGCAGATAACAAAAGTTTATGGTTTCTATGACGAGTGTTTTAGCAAATATGGCAATGCCAATGCCTGGAAATATTGCTGCAAAGTTTTCGATTTACTTGCCATTGCAGCGGTAAGTAAATGTATTTCTTTAATTTTGCTAATGCTTATTGGAAGTGTTCGGTGCTCAGTAATATAAGAGATGTAATAACAAGGCGATTTGAAATAAAATAGAATGATAGGAATGGAAATTAATAACTGGCTCCAATATCGAGTTTGCGGCCCTGATTACAATAATAGGCATATATTTTTATGGAATTAAATAATAATAGGGATTTTACAAAAAATTATCTCAACAAGTTCACAATGATATCCATATCTGAAGGTCCCAACTAGGCATGTATTTAATTCCATAAAAAAGGTCCTCAAGTCGCTTGCCGGCAGCACTTGGTGCGCAGATAAGGAAACCTTGTTGACCTCTTACAAAGCGATAGGTCGGTCTGTGACAAGCTATGCGGTTCCAGTGTGGTCTGCGAACACTAGTGATACGCAATGGAGAAGTATTCAGACCTATCAGAATGCCGTCCCGAGGACTTCGACAGGGTGCCTCTTCATGACACCAGTGGACCGTGTTCATGAGGAGACGAATGCAGTACCTGCTCGGGTGCTTCAGGGACAATCATCCGAACCATAATATGGTGGATAAGACTCCCCCACCCATGCGTGTCGGGAAGGAACTGAATGATCTATAGAGAGAGGTTCAACGTTATAAAAGGGAGCCTATAGATCAAGCTGCCTACCGAATAGCATTCATACTGATGCAGTAGCGATGCCGTCCTCGGCAAACCAGAGTAGTTTTGGCCCTATTACGTTCAGGATGGTGCAGTCGTCTCAATTCGTATTGTGCCAGTGGTATGGGTCCTCATACCACACTGCACTTATTCAATTGTCCAGCCAAATCTACTCATCTTACTCCTGAAAATCTGTGGTTGCAGCCAGTGGATCAATAAGATCAATAAGCTAACTTCAAGCATGACAACCTCATCATTTTCGCTGTGCAAGCAATTGTTCTCCATGATATCCGGAGGTTTAAGAATCTTAAGAGAGACTTGTCATAATTTACACACAGTGACGTAGATATGTAAAGTCTTGTCTTGCATTTCCATGACCTTCCTGTAAAGATTGCCACTTGATAGGATTTTTCCTCACTATTATTTTGGCAGGTTGGACTGGTATATAATAATACACAATTTGTATTTATTTTGCTCTTCAGATTATTGATGAAGAGGTCTTGTGTGTACATGGCGGTTTAAGTCCTGAGATTATTACCTTGGATCAAATCCGAACAATTGATCGTAATGGTGAAATTCCCTATAAAGGAGCTTTCTGTGATTTAGTTTGGTCCGACCCGGAAGAAATGGATTACTGGTATGTAAAATCAATATCGATAATAGTAATAAAATAAACATAAACCAATTTTAATGCTCATTTGTATTTTTAGGGGTCAGAGTCCTCGAGGAGCCGGTTGGCTTTTTGGCCAATTAGTCACCAAAGATTTTATGCAAATCAATAATCTGGAATTAATTTGTCGCGCCCATCAATTGGTCAACGAAGGTATCAAATATATGTTTGATAGTAAATTGGTAACCGTGTGGTCTGCTCCGAATTATTGTTATCGTTGCGGTAATGTTGCTGCAATGTTAAATTTCCAAACGGCAAAGGATCGTACAACGAAAATATTTGTTGCTGTACCCGAAACAGATCGTGTTATACCACCACATAATACTACACCCTATTTTCTATAAAAAAAAGCATACCCACAAAAAATATATAGAACAAATCAACAGCAGCAGAAAAGAGGCATTTATACATTTGCATAGAATGCTCATAAATATTTTGCCTTTAACAAAAAATATCACAATTTAAAATAATTGTATTTAACAAACAAAAAACAAGTATTCTATTCTTTTTTACACTTCCAAAAACACACAACCACAACTAACTATCCTATCTACCGTAAGGAAATTAAGACTTGGGACGTCTTAGTCTAAATACATTTTTTGTATGTTAACAGCGCCTATATATAAATTATTTTCTGTTGTTCCTTTCACAATGTAGATGATGATGACGACGACTGAAGATGATGTTTTGGTGTATACAAATCATTATTGTGTTCTTTCTACCTTTGATCTTGTAGACAAGAAAACAAAATGTAAACAAAACAAATATTGAAATAAAAAAATATGTTTTGTATATAAATTTTTAATTTTGATTTTTTTACTGTATATAGTTTATCCCGTACTTAATTAGTAAGTTGAAAGTAGAAAGTCTCGCCCTAATATGAAATTAAATAGTTACGAGAAAGATTTAGAAATCCACACAGCATATATCACGTTACGTGGACGTTGAAATGGTGTTCTAATTTTGGACAAGACACGTATGTCGATAAAGTCCGCAGAAGTCCGAGTTGGTACTTTTCAAATTTGTACCAAATTTGAAATTTCTTTCCATTGACCCTTGAAAAATTTGAAAAGTTTAACTATTTTTTTAAGTAGATTAATTCCAAAAATTAATTGAACCACTAATTATATTCTTGTAAATAGATTTTTTTATTTTCCTGTATACATACTAAGGCTGGACATTATATTTTATACGTCCAAAAAATATACATATAAAAGTATAAAACTTTATTCTACATACTAGATTAAAATAAATAAATGCTCTACGAGTATATAAATGAGTGGGTCAAGATGTGTTTATGTGGGCAGATTCCAGTTTTTTAATGAGGTTGTTTTCCAATGGAGTTGTATATATATATATATATATATATATAGATGGATACTTTGGTGCTAGTTTAATATTAAAGTTATATATATGAACAAACCGTTATACATTATCCCATTATATAAAATAAATTATTATGAGCATACACATAATGTATTAATTAAAAATAACATTGCAATGGGTAATTAATGATGACAACATAAATATTTCTTCGGTTAAATTTGTTAAATGCTGAGGTGTTGCAATCAGCGTTGGTGCAAATACCGTGGCTAAATTATGTTCATTCATTTTGTTAACAGCATAGTGTGAGGCAACTCTGTAAAGAAAATAAAGCGTGTTAACAATATCAATCATGGATAAATTTTTTTTGTTCATTCAGTTTTTCATGTGAGATCATATAAAATTCATATGCCTAGAGGCGATTTAACTACATAGCCATTTGTGTTTTTCTTCCAATTCATTCCGATAATTTACCTTTTCAAATGTTCCATCATAAATTTGAGACAAGCATAATGGGCCATGGGTAGTTTTTTTACGGCTTCACTCATGTGTTTAATTTGATCATCCTGATTATTGATTCCTGCAAAGAATATTCCACAAGCATTTTGAAATAAATGAAAAAAAAAATTTATAGCTTAGACTTACTTGATGATTCCATAAAACTAGGATATGCCTGATATGTTATTAAGGGCACGGGTAGCAAACGCAAATATAACTTTAAGGTGCCAGCAATGACATTTATATTACTATATGCCGTCTCAGACATGTCGGTTCTTTCGCCCTCAGTATCCAAGGCCAATTTAAGCGCATCAATTTCATCGGCAAATCCCGAAACACGATAGATTCCCTCTTGCAGCATACCACGAGCTTCAACCTCTTCGACACAACGACGCACCACAAATGGTATAGAACACTGATAAAGTTGAGCCACAGTGGTCAAGTCCGTCCCGAAAACACCGCGTATATTTTTTAAGTCCGGTAAACATTTTGCCGGTACAAGTTCAGAGCACTTATTGTGTGCTATTATGCCGCAATCTTCACAACGCACACCTTGCGCCGTGAAACCCCATAAGAAATTGGCACAAATATCACACCAATTGAGTCCCTTAAATGTGTGGACCTTAAAGGCGTGGGCCTTTTCGTAAACAAACGGCAATAGTGTATCTCCGTAATCCGAACTTTTTGTTGTACCTTCAGAACAACCATCAACCACAGAGATATGATGACTATTATCTGTTCCCAACAATTTATTGGCATCATCAGCCGCCACATCCACATTTGTCGTCAAATCCACCAATTTATTGTCATTGTTGCTTTTGTTGACCAGAGATTTTCTCAAGTCATTTGAAAGTGCCCGCAATTTACGCCGATTTAATGTCATATACGGACTTTGTTGATAACAATTTCCAGTCTGTTGATTGATCTCTTGGATAATGGGACCGGCATGCAGCTGCATATAAAAGTTGACCAAACCATCGGCAACCAGATCATGAACACTCTCGAAATGTTTCGATTGTTCTTGTAAATAATGGCCTTGTCCACTTTTAAAATAGATCTTGAAATGTTTCGTTTTCTTATTGAAACGAACACTCAACGTATAATAGTCCAGTGCACCGGGACTTTTGCGCACCAGAAATGAGCCATCCGGTTTATTGTTCAACAATTCCTCGGCTTCTTTATGACTCATAATGCCATGATATTCACTACCATAGAAATTCGGAATTTTCTCTTCATTTTCGAAATTATTGGTGAGAAATTTTGTTGTGTACAGGGGCTTGGGTGTTGGTGCTTCCAGTTGTATTTTATACAATTCTGGTTTCCATACTTTCTGTACTGTTTCAGTCTTTTCCTCTTTTCCCGTCGACGACGACATTGAGTTTCTAGTTTTTTCTCTTTCTTATTACATACGTCTTCTATGTAAGGAAGCTAGAGCTAGCGATCTAGCGTATATTGTGTGTAATCTAAAAGTAAAAAAGGTTCCATCATTTTTTAACACACAATATTCGATATAGCCAAACGAATGTATTTGTCAAATCCCAATGGGTAATCCCGACAACTGCTATATTTACATGAGTGTATCTAACAAGGAAATAGATAGCAACAACTATTTTGCGAAGTCAATTCTTGGAAACTTTTAGTCACATCACAATTTTTAGGCTTGGATAAATTTCTCAAAAAATTGAATTTTAATACCATTAATCCAGAGAATGGCTAATGCCCCTAACTAATTCCTACGAACACAAGTAGTAAACTCCACTTTTCCAAACATTTAATTAGACCAAAAATGTACCGAATCTCCAGTATTCGTTTCTCACTGTTTTGTATTTGTAATCAATTCACTACTACCTTTTTAGCTACACTTCTCTAACCGTAATCTGTTCAACTCTTGAGATATTTTTCCATTCTTTTATTTTGCAAATCTGAATCTAAAAATTCCAATCGACTTTCCTCAAATTGTGTTGTGTATATTTGATTCGTAAACGTCAAATTAAATGTATGCAGTGTAAATACGAACACGAACAGATGTTTTAATTGCTATTATGTGTAAAAACGGCCTAGCTGAACACTCTACATGAATTACATATGGCAATTGAAGGTATTTTACAACTATAAAGGCGGCTTGGTGCGGTTTATTCGGAAAATAAATAAGCCACTATTTTAGGGGGCTCGAGTTAATTTCTCGCTGATGGAGAAAACAGAGTAGTCAATGTATTACTGGCAAAACGGAACCGCTAATCCCTTATCAATCAAAACCTTCGAGGAGTTCCCTGGCGTTTATGGATTGTCCAGAAGGAGAACCCCTAAGCAACTGTGATAAAAATTAGTACATCACTTGAACAGGAAAGAATCTGCTAGCATACATCAAAGGTATATTAGTAGACACAGCAGCCGAACAGATTGATAGGTTGTTCCGTTGTTTTCTTAATTTGCTTTGGAAATACCTTATCACAATCCTTGATTACAAATCAACATGGAAAAGGACTGTTTCAAGGTTAGGTTTGGGGATGCGCAGTCACTAAAGTGGCTGCAGAACACTGAGACAGTCCATTGTGATCATACACGAAAGAGAAAAAGATATGGAGAGATCTGTGGGGGGAGAAAAGAAGGCGGGAGAGATGAGAAGTTTACAAGGAAGTGTAAAAAGGTAAGTATGAGATAGTAGCGATTGCTATGGCTGTCGTAGTTTTATTAAGCGCTTTATTATACAAATGTATAAAAACTTTATATACAAATGTATAAAAACCAATGTTCATTTTAACTATCAATTTGCACAAATAAAACACATTTTTCTGTTAGCAATGTAGCCACTGCATTGGCCGTTGTCAATCCCAAAATTTCTCCGGCATCTTCTAGAGTTATTAAATGTTGTTTGCCAATGCTAACCTGAGGCCCATTACGATTTCTCAAACCACTGGCAGTATCATATTTTGATTTATATAGAAAAACATGCCGATGTGATTCTGAAATGATGGCATATCCCAAATCCGGTGAACAATCAATGAATTTCTTTTGTTGTTTGGAGGCTTGCACGTAGGCAAATGCATGGAGATTTCCTTCGTGTCGGAGAGACCATTCCTCCGGTTTCGTAGGATTGAATTGTTGTAGCCACAGTGAACAGTCAACATCTTGTCGCGTAGCAATGGCTAGGGGGAAACCGGGTCGCAGTGATGTCGTGAACAATGGTGGACTTGAACTCATAATAACGGAATGTGTTGTATCTTTGCTGGGCATGTTATAACGTGCTGGAAAATACAAAAATCGCTTAGTTATAAATTCTCTAAAAATAACATTTTAAGAATATACCTATTGTTATCTCCTCTTCAGCCATGCCCATGGGAAAATCACAATCTTCAATGGGGGTTTCTAAATTTGCAATAGGTTGCTGTTCCATTGGTAGACAGTTTTGTTGTTTGCCGTCGGTGTTTTCCTTGGGACCCAAATCATTAGCCAATAACGAGGGCCAGTATAAACCGGAATCTTGTTTAACCAAAGTCACTTGCAGAAAGTTGTTTTCCTAACAAACAAGGAATGTGTTCATTATGATTCATTGTGGTTATTATAGATGGGGTGCGATCAACTTACTATGGTCCATGTGGTTAAGTCCGGATCAATTTTCTCTCTCAATTCACAGTCTAAAATAGGGGTTTCCTTATATTTAACCGTAATTTTGTTTGACATGCATTTAATGCTGTAATCTGTTTTCCCAACGCCCGGCTTATCATCAAATTTCACAATAATATCCTCATCCGTTTGAGACCATGAAAACCCGGAAATTTCATTTTCAGGTTTATCATGCAGTTGCGGTTTATTTTCAATGGTAGCATCTACGGCGGCCTCATCACTTGCTTTTTTGGAACGCCATTTATATTCGCGATTTGAACTCAATATTAAAGATTCACTGCGTGGTTCAAAGGCACAGTAATACAGAGAACCTTTACCCTCCAATGTATCCAAAATTTCAAATGTCCATTTCTGTTCTTTAAGGTGCCACTTTGCCCAATGTAAATACATAAAGTGGGTGGAACCACCATCCGGTGTTTGGGATTCAACTCTCTGAACATGACCAAGGGCAAGTGAAATTTGCTTTTGTTCTTGTACAATATCCAAGCGGGCATCATTTATCACATAATTTTTCTCATCCGGATCTAATCCGTGTCCTTCAATTGTTGCCGTGGCAACTTTTTGCCATTCTTGGGACTTAAAACGATCTCCAGTTTCAAGAAGGAACAACGACTTTACACCATCACAGAGTACACAATATTTTTCCGAGATGAAACGAAAGGTGTTATTGTATTCACCTTTAGGCTTCCACATGGGCTGTGACGTTTGTTCGTCAGAACTCGTTTCACCACCACCCCCGATACGATAGACCACTTGCATTGGATTCGGTCTACCCCTATTTTCATCATACGAACACCGCACTACTTCGCCTAAATTATTTATAAAATACGAATCATTTCTTGACCATGGATCCACAACCAATAAATTTTGCATCGAAAATAATTCAACATGCAGCAGTGAATATTGGTCATCGTTTGGTGTGGCTTTTAGTGGGGCCGCCGTCAATTCTTGACGTATCAGTGGTACTGGGTCCAAAGATAATTTATAACCATCAAAATTGGATCGAATTAAGCTGCGATCTTGGCGCAATTCCACAATTTTTGGCATTCTCTTTTTTTCCTTTTGGAGTACAAAGGACTGAAACTCAACGCAAATGAAGGAAGTAGTCTGGTTTATAATACTTATGATAGAGCGGTATAAAATGTGACAAAACGGGGAAGGGGACCCAGAATAATCAACAACTTGTTACGAATGAGGGAAGAAGCATAATATAAATACCGGGCTCATACGAATGAAGGAAGAGCGGATAATAGGGAAACAACAGCTGTTTTAGGGTTCACATAGTGTGTTAAAAATTTAGTACGGGTTCGAACCATAAGATAGTTTTAAATTTGGCAGTCGTATATAAAACAAAAATAGTCAAAAAAGTTGTATTCGAAATTCAGCGTCTTAGATTAGGCGGGAAAGTTAAAAAAAAAATACATAACAAGTGAAAAAGCGTTAACTTCGGCCGGGCCGAACTTTAATTACCCTATAACATAGGTATACTGACAGATGCTTGAAATGAAAATATAGGGAACATATCAAAATATGTCTTTCCAGTTTTGTGAGTTCAGGAACGGTTTTTGAGTAAAAAGTTGCAAAACTTGTAAAATTAGTAGATTCTTTTAGGTTCTCGAACGGAGTTAGTGTAGGAATTAGCGAATATTTGGGGTTATAATTATATGAAAGCTATGTCTAATTAATGACCGAAATATGTCTATTTCGAACCAAATATTTTTGTTTTGTGTTTCAATTCTTTCCTTCAGGAGGTAATGCGGGCGATGCCTAAAGGGCTAAACAGAATGTTCGCGTTGAGCGTTTTTTGTTATCGCGTTAACGCACGCAAAAAGTTAAAATATATTTAACTTCAAAGCGCAGCGCACATCAACTTCATGCGTTAGTGTTATCGTTTCCTTGTGGTTGTTGTATTTTCGATAACACAAAACGCAACGGATGGCTCAACGCGAGCATTCTGCTTAGCCAGGTTCGAGTTTTTTTTATCACGATTTCCTTAGAAAGCGCCTATATAGGGGGTTATATGGTAACTACCCTTAAAAGGGGCGAATATTAATAATTTTTGGAAGGAAGGAAGAAAAACGCGCTCAAGAACACCAAAATACCGAAAATTGGGGGTGCCCTTATATGGGGGCTACCCGAAAAAATTGACCTATATTTATAATATTTAATAGAGAAATTTTGTACCCAATAAGAAACCATTGTACCAAAATTCAGCGAATTTGTGTTAAAACGCACGCGCTCAAGAACACCAACATACCGAAAATTGGGGGTGCCCTTATATGGGGGCTACCCGAAAAAATTGACCTATATTTATAATATTTAATAGAGAAATTTGGTACCCAATAAGAAACCATTGTACCAAAATTCAGCGAATTTGTGTTAAAACGCACTTAAAAATCCCAAAATACCGTAAATTGGGGGGAGGGTTACCGTTATATAGGGGCTACCAGAAAAATGGGCCGATATTTATAACTTTTATCAAAGACTATGGTACCCAAAAAGAACCCAATGTACCAAATTTCAGCGATTTCCATTGAAAAGCGCGCTCAAGAACCCCAAAATATCGAATATAAACGTGTACCGATATAGCACATCTTCAAAATTGGCCTGCGTGCAGACAAAGAGCCTGTGAATGATTGTATTGTCTGTCACATGAGCGTATATAGGAAAAAATTCATAAAGTATAAAAATGTTTTTTTGACTTTGGTCAAAAACTAAAGTTAATGACTGATTAAAAAAATCGAATTGTCTTACTAGAAGAAATGTACCCAGTAACATTCAGTAAGTTCCCAGGGTAGAACTGTCAAATAGCTCTCTCATTTCGCTCTCTTTTGCTGGACTTTGAATTAAACAAAAGAAATGTACCCAATAACATTCTGTAAGTTCTTAGCGTAGAACTGTCAAATAGCTCTCTCTTTTCGCACATTCGTACGAAGAAAATGTGCCGAAAAACGGCAACATCAGGAGTAGTAGCAAAAGGCTATATCTTAAAAGGCTTATGGTGCGATCTCTCAAAATATTTTATTTGCAACAAACAGACCGATTCACATTTTTTTTATAAATCAGATTTTTTCTGTTTCAACTTACAAATCTGTCTTGTTAAATCTACCCTGCACACTCAACTAACTATTCGATATGTTCAAACAAAAAAAATCGATTAAATATAATATTATTAATCGATAAACAAATCTTATTTTTTTTCCATTTTCTTTTCACATAAATAGCAAAGAGCAACGTGAAGAACGTTTCAGAATTTTTGGAATGCGGCAACGATAAATACACAAAATTTCGAACCGGTGTCGCCGAAAGTGAATTTACACGATAACAGAGAGAGATAATCTATTGATGAAATACAAGTTCAATCGGAAGAGACACAAAAAACACGCGGTTGCATCTACAAAATTGTTTGAAAGTGTTATACTCAAAATCGGAAAAAAATCTTATTAGTTTATATATATTTTTTCCCAATTAGACTAATAGGAAAATAACAAAATAGAACGAAATTCCAATTTTTATCTAACGCCAAGTTCGTTCGATTCACGTAATAAAAATTCAGTTTTATTTGTATTGTATTTGTAATTGTGGTGGGCATTGGCCGACGGTCATAGTTGCAAAATAGCAACAACAACTGTAGAAACCGAGAACTAAATCCCCTGGCAGAAGGGAACCGCGAAGAACAAACATTGCCGTTTGTTGTTGTTGTTAGGGTCACATAGCAAAACGACGTCAACGTGTGGGGTGAGGTCATCATCATCACCGCCGTTTCTGTGTGGTTCTGTGGCACTCGTAACGTGATTTCGTACTCCTCTTGGCCGCCGATATCTTGTTAACTTCCCATACACACATGTACATGTGTATATTTTGGAATAATTAAAGTGACTTCAGAACATCGTGAAATTATAAAACCAACAACAAAAACGTCAAGTCATTGAACAAATCCATATTCATGGTGATTTAACACAAAAAATACGGCATTTGTTAGACAGTAACTAAACCATCAGTCATTAAACAACAACAAGAAAAATAAAACAGCAACAAGGGCCTTCTATTGGCTATTTTTGTTATTGTTGCAGAAAAAAGAAAAAAAAAACAAAATAATATCGGGATTATTAAGTGCAAATAAAAATTGTGAAATTCCTTGACAATTTCACGGTAAATTAATTTGGAATCTGAAGATTTACATTTCTTGGAAACGAGGCGCTAACAGTTTTTGTTTTTTTTTTGGGTGCACCGGAAGTTCGTGTTTTTATTTGGTTCCCATTAAATTCGAAGTTGTGGTAAGTCTTTATTTCAAAATACCTACATATAGGATAAATTATAGTTTTATTATTTGCATTCCAATTAGAAGTTAGTAATCGTTAAGCAGACGAAGAGGAAGGAAGAAAAAAGTCAAGTTAGGGCCCGGTCGCTGTTATTTCCGGAAATATTGACATCGAAAGTTCCTCTGTATTACCGCTGTATTTTCATAGCCATCGATACTATCTCATACTAGCTTCTCACACTTCCTTGTAAGCTTATTTTCTCTCGTTCTATCGCCCTTTCTTTCCTTCCCCATAGATCTCTTCATATATTTTTCTTTTCGTGGATGATCACAATGAACCTGACGGTCTCAGAGTGCTGAAGCCACATTAGTGACTGCACATCCCCAAACCTAACCTAGTGTTAGTGGAATTTGGAGGCCCGTATATTAGGAAATGTAGATTTCCAAAAGAAAAATGTATATTCTAATAATTAGGGACTCAAGAACTACTTATGGTAAACATTTCAAAATGATGCACGATCGGTCCTTAGACTATATTTAAACAAAAATTCGGATACTTCTAGCAAGTACTGTTCATAATGTGTCATCAAATATGTATTACATATGAGCTTACACACAAGTAATCCCCGGGGAAAATCATACATCCAAGATATGGCATTTTGAAGCTCCAAAATTCATTTGCTTTTAAGATGCACCTTTAAGTAACACATTTGAACACCCACGTGGCTATGTTCAGAAAGTGGTAAAATTTGTCATTTTTGGGTCGGACTGGGCAGACTATATGACACCCTTCACAACTATGGGTGAACGACTTAATAGATATGTGATCTTTGAACCGAATAAATTTTATATCATTTGAATTTCGAGTAGTTTGCAATGGAATGAGTTTATGCAAAATTAGCTTTAAAGCACTGTTCAAAATTTTAGTCTCAATCAGACACCCGTTCGATATATATATATATGGAAGCTATGTCTGCATCTGTACCAATTTCAATAACACACGTCATTCTGGTCTCATTTTGATACGTTGTGCAATATTCCGCGTCAATCGGACAAACATTAGGAATTTGCTGCATCATTAACCTATATACGGGAGCTATATCTAAATCTGAACCGATTTTCTTCAATTTCAATAGGGTTCGGGGCCATGGGCCATGTAAATGAACTGTGCCAAACTTCATCAAATTCGGATCATAAATGCGACCTGTATTTTCTTACAATTTAACATGGACAGACATATGGACGGACATGCCTGAATCGACTCAGAAAGTGATTCTATGCATATTATCATATCATGACTATCTCGTTTCCTTTTGCCTGTTACAAACATATGCACAAACACATAATACCCTGTACCACAATGTACTGTACAGGCTCTCCTCGAAAACTTTGCGATATAGAATTTGCTTACAAGATGAATGTTTATGATTGTTGTAAAATAAATTGCATTTATCTGCACTTGGCTTCGTTATCACATATACACTTACTTAGTTAGCATTGTAAATTGTTGTTGTTTTTATTTTTATATGACGCAGTTTTTTTTGAAATTTTTGTTCTGGAAAAATTCATGATGATACGCTTATACTTATATTCAAATGCAATTCGGGGAGTTTACAGCTCTCTGTAATGAGAAGTTGTTTCTTAACAAATTCAGTTAGATGATGTGATGTAAATGAAATTTGTTTGTAAAAAATAAAATAGTAAATGTTTTTGAAGAATATGACATACATACATGCCTACATAAATACGACCATGGAATTTTCGGAATATAGTTTTAAAAAAAGTG